TTAAGAAAACTGATCGGTTCTCCTTTTTACATTTGAATCAGTATCAACCGGTATTGCAATGAGAGATTTTAATACTGTTTTGTTTTCACCTACTCAGATGATGGGCGTTATCACGCAAGAGCTTTCAGGGTTTCTTATTTATCATCTCCGATCATTGAAATTCATAACTTAACCAAATAATCGGTTCAAAATCTTAGACGCTACCAAAACCATGCCTCCGTCGACAGATTTATCGACTTTACGTTCCGTTTTGCGATTTGTCGGCCTCTATGGGATTTTTCTGCCATGCCTACATCGTCTGCGTGCCCCGCTTAAAACTATTATTTTGCAAAGGATACTAAATGAATCTGTTCAACAGAACGTCAAGAAGCATTCCTAAAACTAAAACCGCTCCTATCATCGAACTTTTTGCTGACATATTATGACCCATCCTTTCCAATTTTTGTCGCTGCAGATGCTTCAGACCATGGGATTGAAGCAGTGTTTTTATATGTTCACCCAGATGGATTTGAGAAAGCAATTGCCTACGCTGCATGGCCACTGACAACAACAGAAAGGAACTACAGTCAGATAGTGTAGGAAGGTTTTCCCATTATCTTCGCTGTGAAAAATTAACAGATGACGTTATTCGTCAGACAGTTTACGTTACTAACAGACCACAAACCACTACTGAGTTTTTGAATCCCAAAAGGGTTTCCCTGTTTAAATGGTAAACTTTCCACAATGATGATTAACTACACTGCTGGATTATGATTTAAAGATAAAGCATCAACCAACTACAGATTTCGGACAGGCAGATGCCCTTTCAAAACTAATTGGTTCCCATACAAAACAAGAACAGGAGGTGCTTATAGTTGCCGTAAAAGCTAAGCTCAAAGTTCGCAGTTTCGGGACCACCGGTCACATTGGAAGCCATTAAATAGCTGGTCAAAAGGATATTACGTCGCGGATCGTCCACCGTTGTATGCCCAACAAGTGGCCCGTCACATAGACTCCATGGAGAGCTCTTACATTATTTTCGTCGACTCCTTGACAATTGTCTATTTGTGCATCATGTTTGGCCACTGGATGGTTATATCCAGAATTCTTCAGCATCGAGTCCTAAAACAGTTGCATAGCGGGTACCTGGGAATAAGTGAAATGAAGTTACTGGCTCTGAGTTACACATACTGGCGGTCAATGAACCGTGATATTAAAAAAAAGTGTGGTGGCTATCGTTCCTGGTTAGAAGCCTCAAAGAATCCAACTAAAGCAGGACGTCAATCATGACCAAAGCTGGACGGACCTTTGCAAAGAATGCATGCTGATTCCACTGGTCCAATACAAGGCAGAAACTACTTTGTTGTTATGGATTCTCCCACAAAGTGACCGGAGGTATACGATATGCCAAACATGACGTCTTAGCATACAAAAGGAAGATTGTCAAGATTTTTTGCTTGTACCGGGGTCCCAGAAATCTCAATTCATGTCGTCCGCTTTCAAACGGTTATACAGTGAAAATGGCATTACGCATCTATGATCTCCTCTGTACCACCCCCAATCGAATGGTCAAATAGAAAGATTTATGGATGCGATAAAAAGGGCTCCGACCAATGGAGGAGAAGGTGTTCTAGCGCAAATGATCAACAACTTCTTAATGTCCTATAGAGTTACACCAGATCCAGCAGTGCCAGAAGGGAAGTTCCCAGTTGAGTGTATGTTCTGAAGGAAAGTTCGGACAGTCTCTAACAGTATGCTGCCTTTCAGGAAGGCAAATAAACCTTCAAACGAGGATCGGACGATCATTCACAGCTTTCAAGTGAATAAAACGGTACTTATCAAGTCGTATCAATGTAATAGAAAACGGGATCTAGGTATTATTGAACGTCGGCTTGGATAAATCTTGTACTTAGTTCGGAGAAATGTCGAGATTTGTATAAGACGTGCCAGTCAATTCAGAGGGATGGATAAACAACGATTACACAAAGTTGACTCTCGTTACAAATGCAGTTTTTAGAACTGGGAAAAGTTAACTTTAATCGAAGCTTAATAGTTTCCAATCATTTCGTAACTTCCTTTTAATTCCTCAACTTATCCACTATTGCACTTCTTGATATGAAGAATTTAAATATTCCTTCACAATGGTTATGGTTTCCTATTTTTTGAGTATTGTACAAATAATATTATTTATTCGATGAAGCATGTTCTTAATATAATTTACAAAGCTGTGTTTTTACGAACTGATAGATTCTAGTGCGTTTCACTCTCTCTCTCCAAAGAGTAGTGAAGATAAAGTTTACGCCCTCCACTCTTGCACTTATACAATCGTTCTGTTGAGCACTGATTTGTTATTTTTTAAGGTAAAGGGAAATATGACCTATAACATAGCTTGTTTTCGTTAAAGACTGGTATTAGTTAAGTACGTTCTACAAAGTATAGAGTTATTTTGTCCTAATATCCGATTTATTGGCAGTATTCGCATAATACTCAGCCTGAGTTTGAACCTAGAAACTTCAGGCTTCACAAAGAATATAATGAACATATTAGGATCAAGTTGTCCACATTACCAACTCCATTCAAGTTGAGATGTAGTGTGGGCATCATTTATTCTCTCTGTGGGTAACTGTTTCATTATGATTATGATTTATCTCCACAAGTCGCGACTGAGTACCTGTTTAGTTTAACTCTCTTTGAAAAATAATAAATAAATGAAGTGTACTATTCATTCCTTATTCGTAGTAATTTTCTGTATTGCAAGGGATAAATCCGATTTTTACAGTTAACCTCGTCAATTCTTATGAAATTCATTCATGTATTGCAAACACTTTTTTATCAGACTGTTATTATGGTCAAAGAATACAGAAAATATTTTAAAATGAAATTAGTTCACTCTTGAGTAGTCTCAAATAATCAATAAACACTGCTGAATTCATATTTAAACACCGATATTTTTCAGCTAGTATAGACCTTGTACAATGTAAGAAATAACAATAAGCCATTGTAAACTGAATATCCCAAAGAAACTGAAATTCTCATTTCCTTTTATCGATTTTCGACGCAAAATCTTTTCAAACATAAGTGCAAAATTGATAATTGTATTTAAGTGGTCAAAAATATCAATACATGTAGGGTTTACTCCTCCAAGCCATTGTCTTTTGCTCAAACCAACTCATTTATTAAATTATTGCGTACTTTTCAACTCTACTTAACATTATTTCGTATGATTTAGTGAGGATTTATCCTAATGTAAACCAGCTATATTGGATTTCATTGTTTATTGTAGTACACAAACAACAATTACGAGCGTTTACAAGTTGTAAAATACATTCAATCTGGTTTATCAACTGTATAAAATTTGCATTGCTCCTTAGCTTATTGAATTTGATTTGATAAAATTAACTTTAACTCTGTCACCCGAATGTTGCAAATCAAACGTTTAAACGAACGAATCGTGTACAACCGTGTTTAGATCCATAGGATAATATATCAGAAATGTCGAATGAAGATTTGTAGATCAAAGTACATGTCTAGTGGTGTTTAAACAGGGATACCCTTTTGGGATTCAAAAACTCAGTAGTGGTTTGTGGTCTGTTAGTAACGTAAACTGTCTGACGAATAACGTCATCTGTTAATTTTTCACAGCGAAGATAATGGGAAAACCTTCCTACACTATCTGACTGTAGTTCCTTTCTGTTGTTGTCAGTGGCCGTGCAGCGTAGGCAATTGCTTTCTCAAATCCATCTGGGTGAACATATAAAAACACTGCTTCAATCCCATGGTCTGAAGCATCTGCAGCGACAAAAATTGGAAAGGATGGGTCATAATATGTCAGCAAAAAGTTCGATGATAGGAGCGGTTTTAGTTTTAGGAATGCTTCTTGACGTTCTGTTGAACAGATTCATTTAGTATCCTTTGCAAAATAATAGTTTTAAGCGGGGCACGCAGACGATGTAGGCATGGCAGAAAAATCCCATAGAGGCCGACAAATCGCAAAACGGAACGTAAAGTCGATAAATCTGTCGACGGAGGCATGGTTTTGGTAGCGTCTAAGATTTTGAACCGATTATTTGGTTAAGTTATGAATTTCAATGATCGGAGATGATAAATAAGAAACCCTGAAAGCTCTTGCGTGATAACGCCCATCATCTGAGTAGGTGAAAACAAAACAGTATTAAAATCTCTCATTGCAATACCGGTTGATACTGATTCAAATGTAAAAAGGAGAACCGATCAGTTTTCTTAAGTTTGTAGGCACTTCCAGATAAAAGCATGAATAAAAATACTACTCAGGACATCTCGTCGACCTCCCATAATCAACCATCATCAAACAATCTAACTCAACAGGCAAGTTTCATACACATAGGGTTTGTGTACCCAACTTTGAAAAATACCGACAGTGTAAGAGCTAGAGAAAAACTTCAAAATCTTCTCTAATCTATGAAGAATCTTGCTAATTTTTCGATCTTTACGTCTAACAATCCAATATCCAAAGTAAAAAAGGTTAATATTGAACATAATAATTACTAAGTCAAACAATTAACACAAGACAACAGTGAAACAGTACAGTAAACTCATTAACAAATAACACACAAAGAATCAAATAATAAAAACCGAAAAATTTGTCAGTTTTAACATTATTCATAGACAGTCAAATGATATCGATATTCCTTACAGACTTGGTAAATAAGTTAGCTGATATATTTAAACAAATACTTTTTAAATCTCTTTAAGAAAAGTATGGGTTCATACATTCGGTTCCATTAATAAATTTAAACAAAGCAACAATTTATCTAACAAAATTTATTTGTTCTCGTTCTGTTCAAGTTTATTAAAGGGTTAAGTTGAATGTAACAAATATTTAGAGTGTAGAGAACAGTTGTTGAATTTGAAGGTGGTTTACATCAGGGGATCAAGGTCAGTCAGTAACAACGTAGAACTTAGTACGTACGTACATCAGTTCGAGTTGTCATACCACATTAGCACAGAGATGCAGTGGTCGATTCAAATCCCGTAGTGGTAGAGGTAGCAAGAGTATAAGCAGTAATCGGGAAGATTAGGGTTTGGAGATGTTATTTAACGAGTATAATCCAGTGAAATAAATTTGGAAAGAGGAAAAAAAAGGGGCATGAAGAATTCAGATAACTAGAATTTGGGAGAACATAGAGAGTGGATGCACCTGCGCCATTGCAAACGATTTTGAGCCATGTCATTCAGGGTCTCTAACCATCGGTTGCTATCATCTCGCGGTCCCCAACCAGGTAGTCTACACCTACCAACATGACTCAGTCCACTTGTCAGTGACTTCATGGATTTGTGCCATGTTTTGGTCTGGCCGCCCCTAGCTTTCTTCCAACCTACTCCTATACCACTGAATATAGCACGTCGAGGCAGTCGGTGGTTGGGCATACGTAACACGTGTCCCAGCCATCTCAACTGATGAAGTTTCACTACTTCATCAATTGATTTGCCATCCTTACCTAGTACCCGTTTCCTAACAGCTGCGTTACTTACTCGGTGGTCCCAGGATATACGAGCAATACTTCGAAGACACCTATGATCAAATACTAGTAACCTACGAATATCCTCTACTCTTACCGGCCATGTTTCACAGCCATAAAGTAGGACGGAACGAACTGCTGCGCAGTAAACACGTCCTTTGGTTGACAGACGGATATCTCGCCTACGCCATAAGTGACGCAAGTTGGCAAAAGCTAGTCGAGCCTTCTGTATCCGTGCTGAGATTTCGTCACACACCAGACCACAAGGGCTGATGAGACTTCCAAGATAAGTGAAGCGGTCGACACACTCAACTACTTCACTCCCTATCACTAGTTCGGGTGTCGATGTAACCCAATCCTGAAGCAACATTTTGCATTTCGAGGGAGAGAATCGCATCCCGAACATGCTTGCATTGTTGCTTAGAGTGGTCAGAAGACTCTGCATTTTGTCAGCGTCTTCACCAAATAAAACTATGTCATCGGCATATTCTAAGTCAACAAGTGAACCTCCCGGTAGAAGTTCAACCCCCGGAAATTTAGATGAGGAGAGTGTTATCTCTAAAAGTACGTCAATGACAAAGTTGAACAAGAATGGGGAGAGTGGACAGCCCTGACGAACACCACTTGAGGTAATCAATTCTGATGACAGTTCGCCATAAGCTCTCACTCTACCAGTTGTGTTCGAGTAGAGAGCCTTTATAAGGTTAATGTACTTCTTTGGTACTCCTTTCAGTGACAAACACTGCCATAGAACCTCACGGTCAACAGAGTCGAATGCCGCCTTAAGATCGAGAAATACTACCATTGTCGGGCGTCTGAATGTGTGTCTGTGTTCTAGAACCTGACGTAGTGTGAATATCTGATCTATACAACCACGTCCAGGTCGAAAACCGGCCTGGTTTTCTCTAGTTTGCTCTTCACGAGCTTTGATTAGGCGTCGAAGTATTATTGAAGCTAATATTTTAGACACTATATTAGTCAAACTGATTCCTCTGTGATTGTCACAAGAGGACTTTTGTCCTTTCTTATAAACTGGCAAAATCAGTGATTGAGACCAGTCAGATGGGATTACGTCCAGTTCCCAAATTCTACCTAAGACATCGGTTAATCTCATTACTAATACTGGACCACCATCCTTAAAAATCTCAGGAGTAAACCTGTCAGGGCCTGCTGCTCTCCCTCGTTTCAGATTTCCTATGGCTTTTTCAACTTCATAAAGAGACGGAGGACCTACATTAACTTGCCATTCAGGTTGACTGGAGATCGTGGGAAACCGAAGTGTGGCTGAAGGCCAGTTGAACTGATCCCTAAAGTATTCTGCCCAAGGAGTACCGAACAACTATTTTGTTCTGTTTTAAGAAATAACATGAGCTCAATCTCTCTCTCTCCCTCTTAAAATCGTGAGTGTACTCATACTGTTGGGTAGTTCGAGAAGAACTGTACAAGACTGCTTAGCACTTCAAAAATTCTTTAACTAATATCAATGTGTAGGGAAAATCATCTCGAAAGTAAACAACTAGTTCATTTGACGATTTGAAATATATTATTACTATTATTATCAGTAGTAGCAGTGGTTGTAATAACAATAATCTCATTTAATCAGTCAAATAATGGCTACTGAACAAAATCAATAAAGAAAGAATGTTCTTTCGAATAATTGATCATACGAGTGATCGATAAATTTGACAAAATCCTCTGTGGACCACACAGTTTATTAAATTTTTCGATAATAACTATGTGACTTGTACTCATTTTTAAAAGGTAAATTTTATTGAATGAATCACCATAGATCAACACTAAAAATCTACATTGCATTATTATGAACAAATAACATAGGACTGTTTGATCCTGAGTGCATGACATCATATTCATCATTACTACAGTAATATTGTAATATAGATAGTCTTTATGGATAGAAATAATGTTATGAAAGCCTATTAGTTATGCGGTACCAATGTATAAGTTATTTGTTTATTTTTTTGATACTACAATAGCTTTTGAATACCAATGAGTGATGAGTGAGTTTCAGTTATTAAAATTAAGTGAACAGAACTCTGAATGATGAATGATACAATGTAGTCGAGTGGTAACTACTCACAAGATCGGGTTATTGACGCAAACCTCCAAATGAACTGGTATCAAAGACAAGAGATCTAGTCGAAATAACAGGTTTTTTCCGTGTAACGTCAAACCTTTGATAGGTTTGTGTCTAGTCTGAAGGTAACTTGTGTCCTGAGGGAGTACGAATCAGTATATGATGGAATCTGTAAGGGCAAAGAACAATAGAAAAAGTGAGCCGGCAACTCAATAAACATATAGGATGCACTTACAGTGAATAATCAAATCAGTCGATCACAATCAGAAATAACATGAATATGAGATTAAGACAATCTGATAATCGAAACTAGAAGTTGATAGCATAAGGTTTCGAATACGTTATCTTTCGTTTAATTAAATAACGTGCATACATACCAAATAACAAACACAAAAATAAACATGATTAGAAGTTAAATTAGACGTGAATGATTAGGACGTACGGATTTATATGAACGAACTTTGATCAGGTAACCATTGAAAAAGACCAAGAAGCACAGAACATCTGTTTCGTTCAACATTATTGTCCAGTAACTCTGGTCAGGTTTTCAGTCGTTGTCGAACTAAAGTCAGTCCATGATGTGGAATTTCGAAATCAGATTTAACTTGTTCAAATCTCACACCATCAATACACATATTAATTAGCTCTACTCTTTCTCATTACAATTATCACATTTTTCATATCCAGACTGATACACACAAATATGTCACCTTGACCTGAATGACATGATCAGTCTCGTTTGGTTTGTAACAAATATACAACTTGTTCTTTACTAGTAATTAAACTTACGTTCATTTATTTCGTTTATTTATTCTCTGAAGATGCGCCTTACACGAAGTCGCGAAACATCAGAAACCCGATTTTCTATTCATTAGGGCATTATAAATATGAAAGTATTTTAGTTTTGCAATTTGATTAATTGTTAATACAGTTAACTTCCAACCATTTATGTTTCAGGTTTGAACCTCGTGTTCCATCTCCTTGTATTAGAGAAGTTAGGTAGGTATCACAAACACACATACAAACAATTAAAATGTAGCTGAAGGCGAGATACCCTAACCTGTAATTGAATATACTATACTATTACAACCGATAAATTGGATTCAAATGAATATAATCAATTTAATTAAACTTAATTCAACAGAAGTAATTTGTAAAAGTGATAAGCACAGGACACAATATCAACTATATCTACAGTAGTGCAGAAGTAATAAATGTGTTATTAAAAATCATTGTGTGATATAATTTTGTACTCATAAATGTAGTAATGGCATATTAAGTACTTACAAATTATGCATTCAATGGAATGTAGTGTTTTGGGAAAAATCTATGGCTTAATGAAACAACTGCAATCACTTTGCCAATAAATATTCTACAAAGAAACTTAAAATATAGATAGGTTGGATGCAAATGACCGATATATGGAATCACTTGATGGCATGACGGAAGTATAAAGTTGTACATTCAGTATTATTTGCGTTTAAATAAGCGAGTTATCTTCAAGAAATTATACGTTCGAAGCCATGTCAACGACATGCCTAAATGAATGTTGTTAATAAGACTAACAGAAAGTTTTTAAAAGGAAGGAGGTTTATTTGAGAGTTTAAACCGATAAATATTATGCAACAAAGTTTTATCTTCATCTGTTTTGCCAGTAAGTGAAAAAATCTTAAGATTCTCAATCATAAACTAAATCTTCTGTACATTGGAATAAAAACCAGTTATTGTACATTATTTAATAAGATCGTATCAAATCCTTTTACCGAATTCCGTTTGTTCATCTGATTAACATTAAGCGAAAACTAATAGTTTGGTTTTTTTGAGAACAGTTTTATGTTATACAAATCTCCTTGACTATCCCCTGTATCACATAAAGTACCATCAGCAGGCATCTCTTGCAATTTAGCTTACGTAATATGTCACATTCACTTTGTGGTTGCATGAAAGATCGTTTTATGTATTTTAGGAACTAGATATAGACAACTTTTAATCAGTTCTCAATAAAGTAAAGAGTACTTCTCAATGAACTTCGAATTCCGCTGAAAACTCTTGGACGCACCCTAAAATCGGATTTGTTCGTTAGTATAATTTAATCCTATTTTCTAGTGAACATACACCCTGACATGTCGAGTGATAACTGATTAAATCAATGGTGATAGGTTCATTTACGTATGCAAATTTACTATCCCATTGCCATGTATCATTCAATATATTATATAAAAGTGAGAAGACTTAATATTTTCGTGGTTAATTTCTCACCTAAATAAACCTCTAAAAACGGCAGGTGAGTAAAGGAATATATTTTTAATCAGTTCTTCATCAAGGCTCTTTACGAATAGTATAAGCTTTACAGTTAATAATCAAATCAATACAAAATTAATGTTGGTTGATCAATTAAACAATGCTTCCTCTAAAGTAGTAATTAATTAGAAGCTACACAGATGTAAAGGCAAATTCTAAGCTAAGATTATGTATTCGGTTTATTATAAAACTCCGCTATGTAAGAATTAGAGTTGAGGACGTAACCAAGCAGTTGAATGAATATATTTTAACCAGTTTGGCTGGCCTTGTGGACGATGAATTCCAACGAACATGAAACCCAAGCTCGGGCCTTCCTGTCGATTATCTTCAATAACTTAATAGAACCTGTTCAAATTAAACGGACATTATCTGAAACTCATAGCTGACATATTACACAATGAAGAAGAAGAAACAATTTTTTGAAAGCAATTCAAAGTAAAATATCATATTACTTTGAATGACCCTATCATCTATTGTGATTTAATGTAAGCTTGTTTTCAGTTCATACATTCACTGAAAGCAAACAATTTAAATGGTTGCAAAAGAAGTGAAAAGAGGTAGTCGTTATACACTTTTGGTGTGAAAAACACACATATACATACACGTAGGAGAAAAAGTTGTAGGAATGACAAATAATAATTTTACTGAACCAGTTTATAAAATACTGATTTTGTACATAATTTTGAAGTGATGCAGTAAATCACTAAAACAGGATAAAGTATCATATTAAAATAAGAAGTATAACATACGGTGGGTGTATTTTTAATTGAAAATAGTGTATGATGCAATTCATTAGTGTGCGTTCTTTTTCGCAAACATATACTTGTTGATTAGTTGCGCCAACCAGAAACAAGCTGTCGTAAAAGTACAATTTTGAATAGGTAACAAAATGAAAATAAAGGGAAACAAGATATATTTAGGAAAATAATGATTAGTCTAAATAAATTACAATATTATTACTATTAATATTGATGCTGACACTGTAAACAATTGAATATACATAAATACAAACAAGTGTGGGGCTGAAGTGGTTCTTTTTTTCCTACAAGCAAAAACCACTATTGTTATAATTAAGATCAAGTAAAATAACATATGAACAAGGAATTTTGTACCGACCCCTCTCTTTCTCTTCCTTTCAATCTTATAACCA